CAGCTTCCTTTCCTTTGTGACAATAAGTTTAAACTTTCAAAATCGATGAGATTTATAGCATATTTCCAAGTACTTACACAGTTAAGACACTAATGAGACACAAATGAGATCACTTGACATGTTAATGCACTAGCATATTGCATTTCCTTTCATAGTATTCCAAGAATCTTAACATTGCATTTACTTTCACCCTGAGACCCTTAGTACATCTGTTAATGACATGACAATGGGGACAAAGAATAATGTAATCACTGACATTTCTATTGCAGAGCACTTATTCAAAGTGAGCATAACAACAAAATTCTACAACTAATAAAAATACATACAAACAAATAAAGTGATAAACAGCACTCTTTTGGCATCAATAAATAATAACAATGTCACCATGTATAAAAATATTTTTTTGACCTAATAAAAATGTACAAGAAAAGCTAATGCCTTGGGGAGGGAAACAAGTGCCATGAAAAAAAAAGAAAAAAAAAAAAAAAAAAAGAAAGAAAAGAAAAGAAAAGAAAAGAAAAGAAAAAAAATTATAAACACAAACACAACACACACACACACACACACACACACACACACACACACACACACACACACACACACACATATATATATATATATATATATATATATATATATATATCATTATATATGTATATGTATATATGTTTATGTATGTGTATATGTGTGTGTGTGTGTATATGTGTGTGTGTGTGTGTGTGTGTGTGTGTGTGTGTGTGTGTGTGTGTGTGTGTGTGTGTGTGTGTGTGTGTGTGTGTGCGCGCGTGTATGTATGTGTGTGCGTGTATGTATGTGTGTGCGTGTATGTATGTGTGTGCGTGTATGTATGTGTGCGTGTATGTATGTGTGTGCGTGTATGTATGTGTTGCGTGTATGTATGTGTGTGCGTGTATGTGTGTGTGTGCGTGTATGTATGTGTGTGCATGTATGTATGTGTGTGCGTGTATGTATGTGTGTGCGTGTATGTATGTGTGTGCGTGTATGTATGTGTGTGCGTGTATGTATGTGTGCGTGTATGTATGTGTGTGTGTGTGTGTGTGTGTGTGTGTGTGTGTGTGTGTGTGTGTGTGTGTGTGTGTGTGTGTGTGTGTGTGTGTATTGTGAGACTACTTCCCTTATGATCAAACCGAACTGTATGGTTTATGGCCAAATGTTAGTCATTACTATTCCTTTCTCTGATTCTATAGACAGGGTTTATATTACTGTGGATCTTTAACAGGAATATGACATAAATCTTGCTTCGTTTCCCCATGACAATGATACCTTTCTTTATACAATACTTAACATACCTAGCTGTACTTTCATTCTACAAAAAAAAAAAGAAGAAGAAGAAAAAAAAGCTTTTATGGTAGTATATACTGCACTGGGCATGATTGTGCAGCAAGGCAGAATTTCTGTGGTAAGAGGTGTCTATATATGTAAAAACATGAAAATAGTTCAGCTAGGTCTACAAATCTGAACAAAAACTCTCCATTACTGGGAAAGGAGAGAGAGAAAAAAAAAATACCTTCCACTGAACTGTCCTGACATAAAGATAGATGTTAAAGTAATCTCTGATCAGAGTTCATTCTTTTTGCTACAATAATTATGGAATAGCATCCATGCTGTTATTTTCTTTTACTGGAAATTCACAGACATCCTTGTATACACCAAAAAACGCCCACAAATGCAAATAGCAACTCTACTAAACAGACTACAATCCACACATAGTATATTCTAATCATTATGTCCAATTAAATCTAAAAATATTAAAGTTTCTTTGGGAAGCAAGATATGTTCTGTGTTCTACAGTTCGTTTTTGTTTTTACTGTTTGCTTCACAATCTGTCTACTTCAAGATCAAGGCCTTCAAGCTTATTTACTGGAACTTCGGTATCAACCTCTTGCCACAAAAATGATCCCTAAGATAAAACAATAACATCCACATACAACAAACTACAATACATTAATTGTCATAAATCATAGATCTATACTGTTCTTTATATGAATAAAAAGCAGATAAGGTAGTCTGTTAACATACTGATATTATACAATAATGTACGTAACCTTCTAACACAATACATAAAATAACTTTTGAAGTATAATGAAGTTCACCACATATCACAGATACTAAATTTAAAAAATACATACACTTGATTCTTAATTACCAAGGTGCACACATAGAGCATTTGTTTTCTTATCTATTTCATAAATAATATCTTACATCTTTGTTTTTAGTACCTTACAGCAAAAAAGTAAATATTCATGGAATTTGACTTCTATTTATGCACGCATAAAATAGTACCATCTTTCAGGTCATTTGTTTTACTTAGCAGTAACTATACTGTTATAAGAAAAAAAACAAACAAACATTACCCTCTTAGGAAACTCCTTGTAAAATTCATGATTCTTCTGTCCAGGTACCTCCATTTTTTAATTTTTTTTTTAAATATATGATTTGGAAACCTATCCAAACAGTATCTTACATAAAACTGTAAGTCATCTTTTTTGTATCGAAGAGCATACCTTTCAGAATAAAAACAATAGATAGGATGAACCTTCTAAAATCTTTTTGAGAATTTTGGAGAACAACTAACTAGCAGTTACATTAAAAATACAGATACCTGAAGATCTGCAAGCTAATTAGCAGTCATGGGCCTTGATGTAGATTGTTATTTTAAATATATAAATATTCAACCATCTATCAATGTATGTCAAAAAACATTACCCTGAACCTAATATGAAACCCTAAGTAGTGAGCTGTCTCATGACGTTTTTTTTTGTAAAAGAAAATATTAAGTAGTTAATAATGGATTTCAAAGAACAGTACATAACTCTATGTATGAGTTTGTTATCACTACACGACATACAAGCTTTTATTGCTATCCTTCTAAACATTATGAAGATTTCTATTTTTTAATAGTTTTAGAGTACTTTCAACATCTATTTCTCATCTTCCTCCTGGTTCATTCGCTCAGTGAAATCAAGAATCAGGTGTAATTATTTTCATAGAAAATGTGTAACACAAAATTGTGTCTTGGCTTTTTTCATCCATATATCAAAAGACTAATGAATAGATCAAGGTAATTCTCTTAAAGGACAACTTTGGTATGCATTTACACTATAACATAAAAAATCAATGTATGTTACCTCTTTCTAAGCACTGCTAAATAAAAATGCTATGGAAAATATACACTACAAATCTAGTATGCCTTCATTCCTTCTCTGTAATGTCATTCGGAAAAATGAGATGCCAAGTGACTGAATCTTATGAGGGAGTTTCATGCTCCACTTGTTCATGAATCAGTTTATACCATCATTAACAATCATGAAAGCAAACAAGAACCCTGAAGCATTAAACTGAAGAAAAAAGAAGTAAATAACAAGCAATGATATTCATGATAAATTACCATTTATCATCTGGACTGCCTTGACATGTTTAGTGTTAGTACATTACAACTAAAGATTAAAAAATGTTATATTAATTTATATCTACACACACACACACACACACACACACACACACACACACACACACACACACACACACACACACACACACACACACACTCACACACATACTCACATACACACCCACTCACACACACATACACTCACACACCCACTCACTCACTCACTCACTCTCTCTCTCACGCACGCACGCACAAACACACACACTCACACACACACATACATACATACATACATACATACACACACACACACACACACACACACACACACACACACACAGAGTTAAATGTACATAGCCTTAAAATTACTATAGAATAACTCTCAAAATTATTAAAGATAATTAAATATCTGGAAGAAGAGAAAGACAAAGAAAAGCTTCAAGTTGAATACCATTCTTTAAATCAGGTCACGGATGCTATAAAGTTGAAGAAAAAAATCTAGCTGCACAAAAAAATATCACAAAGCACCAGAGTTTCATTATCCAAAGAATTTGATTGCCCTTTAATTATTGTGAGCCTTATAAAAAGTGCAATCTACCCTTTTTTTAAACAATAGCAATTACAGTAATCATTAAAACAAAGTAATTAGATATTAACATTATCTATGCCACCATATCTTGATTGCTTCAGGGCTCTTTGGTTTTTTTATTTTAGAAAATCAAATATTAATTTTGAAGGAATCATCATTTTATCAATGCCATATATATTATAAGCCACATTGAACACACCCATAAAACTGGTCACCTTTAACAAAACAACAAAACCTTCACACTGTTTCAAGTAAGGACAGCCCCCATTTTAGAATACAAAAAACATTTTTTTCTTTTACTGTCAAATGAGAAGGAAAAATAAATAATAATAACAATAATGAAAGTGAAGTCAAAAATATACAACACAAGAGGGGGAGCTCCTTGAATGACTCAGAATGACTGCTAAAACACAATCACGCTGTTCTGTAAAGCTCTCTTGCCGACACTGCCCCCGTCCCAAAAGGGGTTTAAGGCAGTCTGGAGGATCACGCACCCAAAGACACTAGTACTTCAGCCCCAGTGCCCTACACCATACCTCAAATCAAAAGAGCAAATTTATACAATAAGTTTGGATCTGAGCAGTGAAAAAATCAGATGCTAAAAACATTTAAATGAATATTAAAAAGAAGAAGAAGAAAACAAAGCCATTTATACAATTGAATACAAAATTAACTGTTTAGGATAGCCATGCGAATAATGTAAAAACTGGCTGGGGAGGGATGCTATCTCAGGATCAGTGGCAGTTTAAGGCTTACCCAGAATGCTTTCAAGGCAACCCTTCTTTATCTGTAATAAGTGCAATTGACCTGTTAAGCCAAAGCAGAATTAAAACAATTTCTTGATGCCCCTACAATCATGAGGCAGATGAGGCTAGGGTGAGGTATGGTGTGATGGGGTGGTGAGGGTGTGAGAATTCAGTGAGTTGGTGGTAGTCAGCACAGCACACAGTAGTGGGTCAGAGAAAGGCATTATGGTGGACTGCCTGCTGGTAACTGTACCTGTCACCAGGCCGTGCCCGCTCAGGGATGGGTGGCGGTACTACCCGGGCCCCACGTTCCCCCCCTTCTGCCCCCTCCCCTGCTGGCCGGGCTTCAAACACTGGCAGATCTCCAACATCTATTCCAGCATTTGTTCCTTGCTGGCCAGACTGCTGCGATGTCAAACGGGATCGGAGAAGATATACGTATGTCCTATATCTCTTCACCTGGCATGAAAGATATTGAATGTCATAATGGCAAAAATTAAATAAAATAATAATAAAGAAAACAAGATATATTTTAGTCAATGTTTTTCACAACTGCAAGCTTTTTGACTTGCATTACCTAAGATAGGTAAAAAAAAAAATCTCAAACTGATTTTTGCACAAGTTTTGACATGTATAAGGATTTCTAGGGGTTGCATGGAAGATGGGCCGAAATGTTTTAAAATCTTTTTGCCAATTGTCATTGTAAAGTGAATGACATCTATATCTACTTATCACAAATAAAGCTTTCTTTTATAGCCACACAGGTAAATCCCGAAAAACATTTTCCTCAACAAACTCACTTGATAACCTTTTCTTGCTACTAATATCCAATACACAAAATTCTATTTTCAATCAGCAATGCAGACACAGAGCTAAGGTATGAATGTATATTCATACATTGTGTGAAAGACATTTTACACTTGAAATTAGTTTTTTTGTTGATATTATTCTGGGAAATACAGAGGAATCTTTCTAAATAACCTTTAGTAGATAAACCTTAACTATCTAATGAATAAAAATAATTACCTAAGATTACATATCTATATACATAATCTAATATTTTAATAAAATACTCTACTGAAAACTTATATAGAATATCAAATATTTCTCTTAAATTTTCTATAATCAGAAATAATTTATTTAATGATGTCAAAAATTAATAATACTAATGATGATGATGATGATGATGTCACAGAATCATTCAAACTTAAAAAGAACAACCCTAGTTTAAAACAAAATATTCTAAATTTAACCAGCATCAACTTCCTCTCATGTTTCTTTGATACTGTTCTCTCACAGTCCACATTCCTTAATTAACAAACCAACTTCATCAATAATAGAAACTTTGTCTTACCTCACTATTAAGGTATGCTTCCTTCTCACGGTAATTAGAAGCTGTGGCAGCTCTTGATGTCTTTTCTGGCGGGTGAGCCTTGTGGTCCTCCAACTCGCGTTCTAGTTGAGCTAACCTCTCCGTGTGGTCCTCCAACTGTTCCGTCTGAGAAGGTAAAACAACCCCCATATTTTAACAAAGACATATATGTACATATACATGTGTGTGTGTGTGTGTGTGTGTGTGTGTGTGTGTGTGTGTGTGTGTGTGTGTGTACTTGTGTATATATATGTGTGTACTTGTGTATATATATGTGTGTGCATATACATATATGTGTATATCTATCCATCTATCTATCTATCTATCTATCTATCAATAAATATATATACATATATATACATATATATACATATATATACATATATATACATATATATATATATATATATATATATATATATATATATATATATATATATATATATATATATATATATATACACACACACACACATACATATACATATGTATATGTGTATTTATATATGCATATATATGCTTATATATGTATGTATATATGTATATATATATATATAAAGGTATATATGTATATATGCATATATGTATGAATATACATATATATGTATATACGTACATACACATTTATATATATGTATATGTAAGGATAAAGGTATGTGCATATGTATATATACATACATATATATTTATATACATATATATGTACACAGAAAATTGTACATAAACATTAATGTTCATTATGCTGACTAAATAACCAGACACTATTACTAGATAAAAAAAAAAAAAAAAAAAAAATTAATAATAATAATAAAAAAAATTATCTAATAATAACAATAACAGCAATAGCTGTAACAATAATAATAAATATAATAATAACAATAATAATAATAATAATATATGTGTATATCTATCCATCTATATATACATATAAATATATACAGATAGATAGATAGATATATATATGTGTATATATGTATATATGTATATATATATATATATATATATATATATATATATATATATATATATATATATATATATATATATATATATATGCACACACACACACACACACACACACACACACACACACACACACACACACACACACACACACACACACACACACACACACACACACACTAATAATAATAATAACAATATATATGTGTGTGTGTGTGTGTGTGTGTGTGTGTGTGTGTGTGTGTGTGTGTGTGTGTGTGTGTGTGTGTGTGTGTGTGTGTGTGTGTGTGTGTGTGTGTAGGTATATATATATATATATATATATATATATATATATATATATATATATATATATATATATATATATATATAAAAATGTATTTCAGTCAAATCACTGACTTTTTCATTTTCTTCCTTACATTACCAATATCTTGGCTACTTTCCCCTCCTACAAATTCTATGCTCAAGTAGAATGTATATGAAATCATTGTTTAGGAAACATGGATGAACCACATTCATTATTATTACCATGCAAATCCAAAAACCTTGAGCTGGAAATTAGAAAATATGTCGGAAGTGGATTTGTATGCGCACACACACACACACACAAACACACACATACACACACACACACATATATAAACATACACTATGGAATTCAAAATTATTTTTCCTTTAATTCCCATAGCAAGATCATCGTCTTTGATCCATTTTGAATGCATGCTTGGTTGCAATCCGTATTAGTATTTCAACGTGTTAACAACCCTATAAGAACTGAACACCGAGAGAAGATAATGAGCCTTAAGGGAGGCTTCCTGGACCACAACCCTATGGAGAAATAGCTAGTGGAGTGGTCATGTTCAGTGGTACTCATGCATAACATTATATAATTTTCCTAATAAGTAAAGTACAGATGTAATAGCAAGAACATATAGTTTATTTAATCTCATTCTCTCTCTCTCTCTTTTAAATAACTACCACATAATCAATGCTTTACTTATTCAGACATACTAAGTTCTACTCAATATTTGAGGGAGAAGTATGACAGCAGATCATAGCCTGTAACTCTCATTAACATCAAAATATCTTAACCAGTACTTTATAATAAGTGAAGGTTTCAGATGGGATATTCTCTAATGATTTTCACTATGAAGTTTTAGTTCCATAGTTTTTTCTAATTACATTTTATTTTCACTGAACACTTAATTTTTAAAATCACCTGCATTTGCCTGAGATGCAACAGCTGTTAGTAAATGAAAAATGGTTATGCTGTAAGAAAATCAGAATTGTCATGGACAACTACAAAAATTCAGGTTATATAAATCAATGAATATATAAGGTGTCATCACAAATGGCATATGGTAAAGCATTTTTCTACCCATCCTCATAGAAATCACAATTTACTTTTAGATTTCCCAAAGAAATTAAATACTGATCATTCAATGTCAGATATCCAACATATATGAGAAAGAGGACAAACAAATGACAAAAGAAAAATATCAGAAAGGAAAAAAGTCAATATAATAAAAAATAAAGGACACCTGTAATTCATCCATTCTAATTCATGTCAATCAACCTTAAAAACAGAAATAAGAGTGAAAGGAAATGATATATGAGTAAATGTAAATGCTTTCTGTCAAATGTACCAATAAGATGACAAGGACTCAATGCAGGGCTATAATTTCAATAGATTTTTAATGCCTGATTTCTTTCTAAACTGAGAGGTTTAGCCACATTTTGTTTAGGGGATGGCACTCGTGTGGGTATTTCTTTTCTTGAAGTTCTAGTTCTCTTTTTTAATGCTTAAAATCCTATTTGCCAAAATTGTGGATATTTGCTGAAACTGTCCTGTCTTATTTATCATGATTATAGCAGACCTGACAAAAACTAGGGAGTTTTTCTGACATTTTCATCATCAATGAGACATATGTCTAATATATCTCATACTATTTGCCAAGTTTCCTTCAGCCACACCCATCATATAACCCATCATATGTGTGAACTTAACCCCTATGATCTGGATAATGTGCCCATAACATCATAAAATAAATCTGGCTTGAGGGCTGGATGACATAACAATGCCATCATGGGAAAATCTGGCTGTGGGCCAAGGTGATGGGAATTTGCCATCTTGAGCATTTCAGCTGAATGACAAGGTGATGGGAAAGACTCACCACAGGTGCACAAACCTCTTGGAGGGTGAATAGACTCCTTTGGCATTTAGAAAGGGGCTTTTGTTTGATTTCCAATGATAAACAATTGTGGAATGTAGTGTAACATATTCCAGCAAACATCTTTTATATCTCTACAGAAATATCTATTTACATCTATTTTGAGCCAGATATGTTGCTGAGAAGAGAGTTTAAAGGTAAGGGAAAATCAGTTAACAAAGACTTAAAATAACAAAAACAAAAATCATAATAGTAATAATGATGAAGAAATATAATGCATTATTTACAAAATAACTATAAGAACAACAAACGCACAAGATATCATAAAAAATACAAATAAAAGAGAGTTACACTTCAACAAGCATATTTACATACCAAGTTTAGTTTGGTGATGCTGCATGGCAAGAGAGGTCGCTGGAACTTGCGCTGGGACCCAACTGCCCCTGGAAGAGGTGGGGCAGACAAGCTGGCTGCCACTAAGTTGATTGTGTCTATCCAGGCTTGGAGTTCTTTGCTATCACTGGGAATCAATACAGTAGAGAAAATGACTGAGCAGGAAGAATGTGTTCTTTTTTTTTCAACACAGACTTTCATAGTAATAATAATAATAATCAGAAAAAAGAAAGAAAGAAAAAAAAAATTATACAGGCTATAAAACTAACAGTAATACAATAGTATAACACAAAAGTATAACATCAGTGTCAAGAACATTATCATTCTTTACCTGGTTTGTAGTAAATATTCAGCTTGATCGGCAGTTTGTAATCGGAATACATGTTCTTTCTTAGAATAATCGTGTGCTCTAGTTGCAAGAGCATGATGTAGTCGGATGGCATTGTGCCCTAACTGAGCATGCTGTGGGCCGCGTCTCGCACCTTGTTCATCTTTGTGTAGATATAACACCAAGTCTTGAACAACGCAGAACCACATCTTCCATGATCGTTTCCCAAATGCAGCTGTTTCACAGATTTTTAGATTAATTAGGTAACCATTCAATAAAATGAAATATAATAATTCCTAGTATTCTTCCTCCTCATATAACCTAGTTAATTGATAAATAAAATTAATATCTAAATCATAATAATAATAATAATAATAATAATAATAATAATAATAATAAATAAATAATAAAAAAAAAAAACAATGTTTACAAGATATCAATTACAATGTGACTGAGTATGACTTAATAACAGTAGAATAAAACATGCATTCCTGCATGAATAAATGCTGTTTAATATAAATTCCTCCTTGCTGTTTTTAGCAATTTTATCTTACCAATTAATATCTTTTTAGGTAAACTTCAGAAGAAAAAGAAGAAGAAGTACTTACTCTTTTTTCCATTTGGGTCTGTGCAGCATTTTCGCATAATGTAGCCCTTTTTGTAGACAATGCCATTGCCCGTAGGTGGAGATAAGAATGGGTTGCTCCCAACAACTACGCCCTGAGAATCACCACTTGAACTGCCTGTCTTCGATGTCCCAGTGCCTTCAGTGTCAACATCATCATCTCTATGAGGACAAATACAATATGAAAGCATGTAAAAATAGCTATCAATGAATTAAAAGGCACATCTCCATTCAGTATAACTTCACTTCCCTACCCTAACCATCATCAAAGCCACATCATCTACCAGAACATAGCAAGTCACCATTATCTTCTATACAAGTCATAAAAGAAAAGTGCAAACAAAAGCATTCAAACCTGTTGGAAGTTTCTCACTCTCTAGACATGCTATTGCTTCCAAGGCCTGCTTAAGAAATAATGTGTAATGTTACAGTCAAACATTCTGAAATAAATCATCTCTATAAATCTCCTGACTCTGTACTAATCCTGACAAATAAAGTGAAACAGTGCTCTTATACTCATTTCCTTGAAAACACTCCAAGGCAAGTTTTAGCTTAAACATAAGTGCTGCCTACATACAAATCAGCAGTGTTAGTGGGTGGCCTCAGGAATGGCACTACAAAAGCAGAAATTGGGGTTCCATATATTCTCTTAGCTTTTTCACAACTTACACAGTCCTCTAACTTTCAGCATACACTCACTCTTTCTGATGCTTTTTTCCCTTGCTGTGAGTAAACAATACAGTGAAGGAAATAAACCAGCTTGCAGTTGTCAAGCATCAACAAAGTTATAAGAAGCACAAGGCACACAAAAGAGCACACTTAATTATCTTTGTAAAGTTTATTCACAGCCATCATTTCATGAACTCTCTTTGGTCATAGAAGCATTTTGACAACAGCACATTCAATTCCTCTAACTCTACTTATTTAATCTCAGTCCCTCAATCTTGTCACTTTAGCATCATTTAAACATGCAAAGTACAGTTAATTTTTCTATTTATCACTCTTTCAAACAATCTACATTTTCAGTCTCGTTGCTTGGTTGGTTATTTGTCTAATTATTTCACTTCCTGTCCATCCAAGTATTATATCCATACCTCTCACTCACACTCACTCATTCACTCAAATACATACACACACACATACACACACACACACACACACACACACACACACACACACACACATGCATGTGCACACACGCACACGCACACGCACACGCACACGCACACACACACACATTCACTCTACACACACATATACACATACACATATAATATACACACTATACAAACTATACACACAAACACACAAACACACACACACACACAACCTCTCTCTCTCTCTCTCTCTCTCTCTCTCTCTCTCTCTCTCTCTCTCTCTCTCTCTCTCTCTCTCTCTCTCTCTCTCTCTCTCTCTCTCTCTACATACACATATTTCATAAAGTAAACCTTTAGTTGTCAATCTCTCATACAACTTTAGGAATACTTTCTTACCGTGTATATTGTTTCTACTTCACTATTAAGCCAGGTACATTATTTTTATATCTACTCTTTACTGTACATTTACTCTACTGATGAAATACATATCAACTTACTAACTTCTTCCTCTCCATTTACACTCACTCTTTTTCTCCCAATTTCCATCATCATATTTTAAAAGATTTTCACAAGCAGGCTCATAAATAAATGTATGTGTAAAGAGATAAAACCAAACTTACAATGACTTTGTCCACAGAATGCTAAAGCAAATAAAACAATTACAAGGCTCATCATACAGCAACACCTAAGAATTAAATACATACTTCAACCTGACATCAACATATCCATAGTGTTTCACCACTGATTCGACACACAAGTCTGCTTTGCTGAGGTGCAGAGTTTAAGACAAACAGCGCAATGGAAAAAGACAAGAGACAAACCTGCTGTAATTTGAGTAAATGACAAACAGGTTCAGAGATCAGCAAGAAATTTAAGACAGTCGCTTCTTACCACTATTTTCTGTTCTTTCAACCAACACTCTGATACATTCTCATTCAACTCTACTTTTGATGATCTATGGATTTATTAGTAAAGGAAATCAAAACATCTCACTCTACGATTAATCAGACAAAAAAAAAAAATCATGGTTTACTTACGTAGCCCACTGCAAAGGCTGGCTTCGCATGGCTTGGTAGAGGGACTTGAGCACTTCTCTGGGAAAATTCTCTCCATCATTCAAATCTGCGAGGTTGTCGATGAATTCATTGCAGGTCATCTTCCGCCCTACGCTTTGCCCATGCAAGTCGGTGTTCAGTAGCATCAAAGCACAAGTGAGGGTGTGAACAGCATCTGCAACATTTATTACAAAATTAGTGTCTCTAACCTCTACCCAAATTTATTACACAATTACATTTAAACAGTTCATGTTCCATGGAGCAACAAATCTTCATTATCTAAATATTCTAACTTGTCATAATATAAATCTTATGAAAAAGAAAAAGAAAACTAAGAAAAATCAGCACAAGAAGGGTTTTAATAAGTAAAAGAAAAAAGAATAAAAATCAAAAACTAATTCTACATAAGCTACATGGGCCTTTTTCAATCTATACCTTGGGAGTTGAAAGTGCCTGGGTTGCAGTCAAGATATCTCCTGGAGAAATGGACTAACACTCGCTCTCTCTCTTGCGTCTCACCGGTTAGGCAGAATTTGTCAAGGAATTTCCGAAGGGCTTTATCCAGGGTGTCACCCCGGAAATCAAAATAGTTCAGATATTCTTCTGCAACTGCCCGACTGAATTCATTGCTGAAGAAGCCAGGAGATTTATGATGAGCATTATGAGTAATAATGTTTAGAATAATACACAAGCAATTGCTACCACAGTCAAAAACACACACACATGCACATGTGCACACACACACACACACACACACACACACACACACACACACACAAACCTTCAACTTTCTTACAATAAAGCAGATGATATTCAGAAAAAAGGTCAATACTGCCTTGCTTCCTTGGTATCCTTTATTACAAAGCCAAATTCAGACACCTAATACACCTTTTAACCCATTGCCGACGGGCATGGCATGTACATACGTGCCATGCCCACTGTGAGTTTATTTGTTTAACTGTTTTTACACATCGATGGCTACACTTGTCTAAGTCACCAGTGAGCCAGTTATGAGTACTGCCTGTCTCGCCTGTTCACCCTTTTCATTGATTTACAAAAATATTTTACGTTATCTTATTTTGCTTTTACAAATGTTTATAACATTATAGTAATTATAATATTTATAATAAAAATAACACCATCGATATTTATAGCACAAGTAAAAAATATGTTTTTCCTGCCAACTCAAGGAAAAGTGAAATCACGTAAGGTCTCAAGAACTACTAATTGACTCCTTTGTGGCAAAGCACTAGCAGAGCCATTTATGTACAGAGACATTTCACAAAAATACAAAAAATGTACATACCATTTTCCCCATTTTTTATGAATTTTCCCCGGCAGCAATGGGTTAAGTATTGGATTTGGTTGACAGATGTCACATTGTGAAAAAAATGTACTAAATGGTAGGTGTCAGGAAATTATTGTCATGGAAAAAATTGGCTGACGGTTTGGGTGATCAGAATGTCATCATGAGATGTTTCTGAGTGGTGGGTGACAGGGAATCTCCCTATAAATACACAAAGCTTATGGAGGGAGATTAATCAGTGAACATCATTTCCACTAGTAACTGAGGCTAGAATGCACCATCTATGAACCATGCCTGGAAGAGTGCAATCTAGTGAGGATACTAGAATAAGTGCTAATAGCATAACAAAGAGGAGGTAAGGATACTGAATGTGAGCACTCATGTGGGCCAGACCTAAAAGACACACACCTGGCACAGTCACCACTCAAGTACGCCTATTTATATTTGTTGGACCAATAACAATCTCTGTCACCCACGTGTGTGTATGTGTGTAAGGTGGAAGGGGGGTATGTGTACAAGGGTCACATGGGTGGGTGCTTGCCAGGGTGGGTGCATGCATATGTGGGTGCTTGCTTGCCTATGTGTGCATGTGTTTGTTTATCTGAATATGTGTAAGCATGATAATGTAAAACAATAACCAGAATGAATTAACAATTCAAGAAATTTGTTGAATACATTCAAGTTCATCATAAATCTTTCCAACAGTAACATATCTAATAATGGAAATGGCTAACTCTTTGAGACATACAGAAGCTTTAACTTATGAGCTAAAGGTAGGGAATAGCTGTTAAGTGGTTAAAGATGAGGCAAGAATATACAATCTCTATGATGTAGATATTACCAGGAAAGTTTAGGTTAGGAAAGGATGGGACAAGATGATTTTGATTAGGTTAGCTTAGTTACAACATAGTAATGGACATGATGCTGAGTTAGCACATATTTGCTCCACACAGAGACCATGCACTAACACTGATATAGTAGCTATAGCTGCTGCCTATAATCAAATACTTAAAACTATAACAGAATATCATAACTTATAAATACAGATAGTCCCCTACTTAAGAACATTCTACTTACGCACATTCCGTACATACAAACTTTTTTTTTTATAATTAAGTCAAAAAAATTATTTGAAAGATGCTAGCAAACTTCAAATTTCCCGGGCGCGAATATAGTTCATGAGTCTGCCACGCCATGGCGCTGCCATGCTTACTCAGCTGTGCAAATCACCTGCCTGCCCTCCCGCCATAAACACGGAAGCATCTCTTCACTGTGTCCTTGTGTACCGACAATTTTTGTGCCATAATTCGCTTTACCGGTGCATCAATCCATCAAAAATGTCGGGTGTGAAGAGAAAGATAAATAGTGAAGCCAGTGGAAGTGCCAAGAAACGTCAAGCTATAACTTTAACGATCTTTTCAATCGGTTCGCCAGCCAGTCACCACTGCAATATATTTTCTTTTTGAATAAATTATGTTTCTACACCATCGAATAATATTAAGAAACCACTCAAAAAGTGGCGTGTGGCTGTAGGCTGTGGCAAGCCAGTAATTCGGCCTGATGTACCTAACCGAGTTTTTCATTTGCCAGTCACCACTACAATATATTTTCTTTTAGAATAAATTATGTTTCTACATTAAAGCTGTATGAATCACCATCAAATAATATTAAAAGCATTACATATTACAGGTACTGTATAAGATATGCCGTACTTATTGGGATTTATGTACAGGTATTCCTAATATAAACAAAACTTTAAAACAATGGGAAAAAAGGCTATGGAGACCCGACTTTCGACATACAGTAAAATCGACTTCTGAACAGCCTCTCATTCCCCATTATGTTCTTAAGTTGGGGACTTACTGTATAAATATTTATTCTTTATCAAACAAACTTTACTGATGCATTGTCATTATTATGCAGAACCAATAATGAAATATTTTGTTTGAAAAAAAATTACATGTAAATTGTTCAACAAATACTTAAATAGAAGTAATCTTAAATATTACAATTTACTTAAAAACAATTTTGTTACCAATAATGTTAGAAATATTAATCTTACAAATAAACCTCAATTTTGTGACAACACAAAAATATAAAATCCTTGCTCTGGAATAGGATGAGGTGGATTTAACAAATGTCATTTCACATCTAGATTTTTTATATTTTTCTTATTCATACTTTTTTCTAAATCCCTAAGCCACTATGATGGTTGAACAATTATGAAAATCAAGAGGCCCCCTAAAAATATACCTCTCTCTGTAATTGTCAGCCATGGAAATTCATCATGTAAAATATCTTCCTATTGTGAAGTCATAATGTAGCCTTATTTGAATGAATTATTTAACTATCCAACTGACTTTGGTTGCACCACAGAAGTAATTTGCTTTTTGTTATCCAAACATTGGATTTAGGAGATATAGGCTAGCCGTCAGATACTGAAAATGCCAAACTGACCCATCCACTGTGGACAAATAGCAAATGCATGATAAGGTCCTCCCTGGTGCCTGCCACAATGAATAAGTTAAAAGAATGTAGTGGGGTTATAATGCTAAGCAATCAATCACACTGTTTTATATTAGTTAAATATGCAATATCTATGATCTATTCACCCTGTATTGTAGGGGCCCCTTTCATATGGGGGTCACTGGATTAGTATCCCCTCTAAGTCAGTCTTGACGTATTTTCTAAATATATCACTTTATTCATCTTTTTGTACTGTGTTAGAAGCTAACCTCAAACTAACAAAATCTTAAAAGAACACTCATATTATCCTAAATGCTCTTTTTTCACTCTAAAATACTCATGCTAAAATGTACTTATATCTAACAATTGTTCAATCAATTATGAAGCCATTTCATGATACTTCCTACTCTTTTTATTGTATAATCTCATTTGTTGACAGAATACATGAAGTAAATATATGATAATGTATTGAAGGGAAGCATGAAAGGTGATGTTACTCAAATATATATTTGTAACAGGTTAGAGCAAGAGATGTACAAAAATTTGCAGCCCAACTAGCCACACAAGCTGTAAAGGTTCATTAAGTGACCAATATAACACAAATACAGCTTGAGTTGACTTAATACAAACCAGTACAAGAAGCAACATAGTTCAAGTAAGATAGCTTACGGAAAAAAACATATAGCCTAATTGCAGATTTACATGAACCCTTTCAAATTCACTTACTTTTTTGACAGATGCCGAGATACATCTGATTTTTTGAAGCCATCGAGGGAGATCAGCCTCTTGGCCAGCCGGACTGCAGATGGGATGTCTACCGCCTTAGGACTGTAGTGGAAGCTGTGTAGGGAGTCAATATCTGATTCATCCTCACTGAGAGGAGGGGAAGTAGTACTTGAGGTGCGAATGGAGGTCTTGCCTGCATCCTCTTCTGAAAGACAGGTAATTTCATCCTCAGATTCACGCAACTCCTGGTAGGCAAGGGTATCTGGGGACAGAGTGCCTGACCCAGGTGTGGGGGGCCTTGTGTTAGTTGGGGTCAGGTCGGGGTCACACGATGCATCATAACTGTCCTGTGGGTCATGATGTATCTGCTCATCGCCTCGGCTTAACTGCGTTGGTCTTCTTCTTGAGCTGTTCATGTCAGGGCCTTCCACTCGTATCACAATGCGATTTTCATCCTGTTTCCTTACTTTGGCTTTATCAGTGACTAGACTTCTACTTTCAGTTGTCATTACACCCCCCATATTATGTCCATTAGGAAGTAAATCTTTGGCACCAAAACCGTTGGCATGAGCAGAAGGGATTTGTAATGTTGGCGTTGTATCGTCCCACTCAAGTTCATCAGGCACATCAGTGTCCGGACTAGTTAGGCTAGAGCTATTAGAGCACACATTCTCTGATCGGTTAGAGCTGCCTAAGGAATCCCGGCCACTACACATTTTATCGTACACTCCACTACATGAGTACTGCATGGAGGAGGTGGGAGACTGGGGGGAAGTAGGGGAGGGTGACCGAATCAATGGGCTATCAGAGTCATGACTTGAATGAACACTACCTGGGGAAGTTGGGGCATTGAATGTCCACACAATGCGATGATCACACTCCTCACTGGGGACAGGGGAATTACTGGGGTCATCACGGGTATCTAGCAGCGTGTTTAGTGAAGACGTAACATCATCATCAAGCTCTATGTTAACAGCACACATATTATCCTTCTGATACTGTAAATGGTCCTCAGACTTGGATATTCTCACTGCCGTGCTAGTTGGGGGATAAGTAAATTGCACACCGCTAGGATTACTGTCAGCTGAGACCGGCGAACACAAACTCTGCGGACTTCCCACTTCATGCTTGGCTAGCCTGCCACCACCTAAGTATGTTTCATTAGGACTCGTAGGGACACTACAGCTACCTGACTTTCTTAAATCATCAACAGTTCTCTGCTGCGGAAGCCAACTGGGATCGTGGGAAGTCCGTGAGAGATTCAAGATCAGATCACCTGTCATCAAGTATGCTTCATTTTTGGGCTTCTGCTTGTTGCGCTCATTTTCCGCTGTAGTTCTATCTTTCACGTGTATACCATTCTCAGACGCCGTGTGGTTTGAGCCATGGCTGATGGTCGCACGATCTGAGGCATCTGAAAGCGTAGGGCTGGGGAGAGATGGAGGTGTGGATGATGATTGCTCTGGTGGTGTTCGGCTCGATGATTTCTTGGCCTTGATGTGTCTTACCCCTTGCAAATCATCTCGGGTTATGGCAGTTCGCAACACATCCGAGTTGTTTGGAGTAGCCAAGTACTGCTGCACTCGCTGCTGAATCCCTGCATCTGCTGATGAGATGTTAAACACAAGAAAGGTCAAAAACAATTTTGTATGTATATTAGAATAAAGAAAAGAAATCTTATACAGATTAACATTTCAATCAAGTTCAGTAAAGCATATGATTATCTTACTGTAATTTCAAATATCAATATACCAAAATATTGTAAGATTACATAGAATAATCATTACTGTAACAGATGTATCAAACATTACTTTGTAAAACTATGGCTTACATAAATCTGTTAACTTTAAACAATATAAGAACATACTATATGTTCAACAGAAAAGTGTACTATGTATTCTTATAAATGTATGCTACTGCACACTTTTGTGTACATAACTACATATTTATTTCAACTGATGAATATTTTCTTGCTATTCTATCCCCCATTGAGTACAGTTCTTAGTGGTTGAAAGAACTAGGCAGCCCCACAGGATGGCCCTAGGATGAGCCATTAACAGGCTTCTTGCTTAAACTTATACTAAGTATCCAAGGAAGTAAGTACAGGAAAGTACTATCAACACAGCTAGTGGAAAATAAAGGTGAAGAAAAAAAGTTCTTACCAGTTTTTAATTTTAGCGTCACTTCTGAAGCCGATAAACGCAGGCAATTAAGGACTGAAAGAAGAAATAAAATTGAGGAATTATACCACAGTGGCTCCAACTTTCAAACAAGAATCACTTTAGGACCTTCAGTCTTAGTATCAAAGGAAGACAAGAGAAACTGTATTCAAAAGATAAATTTGTTAAATGGGGATACAGCACTCTTCAGTTCTGAAAAAAAAATCAATAATCATGAATAATACTACACTACAATATTGGAGCAACTAAACAAAATAAGCATATTTTGCCAAAAAGCACAAAATAAATTGGCTTTATATTGAAAAGAAAAAAGTAGTAAAAATGTAATCAAACATTGATATATGACAAAAACATGTTCACTCATTAACTAACACTTGTATAAAAAGATCATGCATTTCTCATGCAAACAATAACCAAAGTGAAGCCTGGAGGTTTGTAATTCTGAGAACTCTTCTTACTCAAAGTAGCAAGTACTAAGTTGCATTTTTCCACTTAAAAAGTTAATGCTTTTTAATGCACAGCATTTACTAGATTGATCTATTACCTTCTTGCAAAACTTGAAATTGTAAAA